ATCCTGCCCATATCGGGTCTTTAACTGCGGTGACATCAATCCCACGTTCGCGGGAAAATGGGGTGAGGAGCGTTTCTTTAGCCAGTGCTCTCGGATCGTGGCGATTCAGGGTTTAGCCTGGGCAGAATGTGAGTCTAGTCACTATCAATACACGATCGCATGTCGCTTATGTTGACGTGTGATGCGCAGGGGGACTCCTCACCATGATGTTCTTTGGCATGGTAGGCCACTACTTCAGATTTTCCGTCAGACCTGGCACTTCGTTCTATGGCCCCATGGTATAGCTATGAAATGAAGACTCTCGCATCACGTTTCCTCTCATTTTTTTGTTGTCTTTTCTGTGGCATTACAATCAAATGGGAGCCAATTGTGATACCGTGTCGCCCTTGTGTCCCTTTTTTCTGTTTCATACCCCGTTCACCCGCTATGCTTTCGTCTTGTTATCTTGTTCATCGCCCGACTTTAGCTGGCAGGTTACCGTCTTGTCTTTTTAGCCCTCGAAATGGGTAAATACAATTAGAATCGATCACATATACCATTTTTTAGTTGTGGTGTGTGTGTATAGCGATGTTGATTTGCACCCACTTTCATTCTATAGACTCTTGCCTGATGTTGAATATCTTCGTGACATGTCAGAAGAAGCGTTCCCCTCCCAGCAGCACGTCTTCTAGATTCTGCTTTCTCGTCAGATGGTAAGCGCCAAGTCGTCCCCTGTCAGTTTACACCTGTGATCAAAAGAATTACTTCGATCTATAGCTTTCACCAGAACATTTCTTTCACATGGACTACCGTAGGGTCTCACAGAATTCAAGTGAGGTCTAGGTTGCAGGGATTGTGACTATGTCGATATATACTCTTCCTTCGTCTGTCATGGGCATTTGGCGCCCAACCAGGCGTTTCTCACAAAACGGTGCCTGGCCTCCTACTTTTTCCGTCTCGAGAGCATTTCGTTTGTTAATCTCTGCGACGACTCTAAAGATTTCAAACAGGCTGCAGTTGGTATGAAGTGAGGCTCAAGTATGCTACTATGATTCCATGTCAAACTGCACGTCGCGGTGCTCGTCATTGAGCATCTACCTCTCCATTGAGACTTCGCAACTCTCTTGACTGCATGACAGAAGGTAATGATAGAAGACACAATTTCAGAGGACTCACTTGTCTTGTCAAAAGATACGAAATTCACGAGCGATTCTCGAAGAACGGTACAAACATGATGAGGCAGATAGGATAGAGCAAGTCGGTTCTCCAGCTGCGTAGCCGATTGGCATCACGCTCGCCGAAGTCGGCAATTGAAGCTTGGGAAGCAATGGTGTGTTTCCGAGTACCGAACCCCGGGTCCATGCAAAATCTGAGTGGCAGCGATAGCCGAGCGTCGAAGGCCGACATTGCGTCGCGAAAGTTGATCTTTAAGATGAGGAGCGGATAAGATTTAAGAGGAGGACTGTAATAAGTTGGAGATGACAGTGAACATCCGCTCTCGCACGGCTGTCTCCCCATTGCACACTCAACTCAATGGCTGACTCATGTCGAATAACGGTCCCTATACAGTCAATATATTGCTATTGAGACAAGAAACGTTCTGCGTTGGTGTCATATGAAGTTTATATTCAACGTTATAATCCTACAAACGTGGTGCATCATGATGACGCAGCACAATCTAGAAAGCATTCTAGAGCACTTGCTGGATCATCCCAATGCCACTGGAAAACGTAATGAGCTTATGAAAGGGGAAGTCTCGAAAAGTCGTCCTCACAAAATGGTTGGCGCCATTGACCAACTTGATCTTGGACTGAGAACCGTTGCTTTTCTTCTGGTCGTCTTCCACAGCCCACATCCCCGAAATAGCAAAGGCTCCAGATTGTTCTCCCACCAGAAGCACCAGTTTCAAAAGGGGGAAGATGTTGAGCACCTCAGGATCGTCCAGAACCTTTCTGTACGCAGACTTGAGCTGAGGCATGAAGTGGATCATGTACGGGAGGTCACTAGAGCCATCATTTCCGTAACGGGAGATTTCTGCAAACTTCTCAGCCGGTATATTGAAAAATGTTGGGATACGACTGGCGGAAGGAAGAACCCACGAGAGAGTACTGGGGTCTCGCTTCGCCAGATCACCATGGTCGAAGTAACCGGTTACCCACTGGCCGAAAGCTGCGAGACGGAGGCCTTCAGGAACATATGTATCGAGGAAAGGTGTCCAGTTCTGGTCTGGAGTGGGAAGCCCAAGGACGATGGGGGCAGGATCTGACAAAGATAGTGGGCACGATGTTTAAATTGGTCTGAGAAAGTGATAATAACCATAGATGATCACAGATTTAATGTGCGCACCAAGCCGAGCACGAGTCTCGGATGGAAGTGCATGAGCGCTCGCAATGGCTGCAAGCGCACTCGCGGACCCCAGAGACCATCCCAAGAGAATGATCCCGCCTTCTTTTCTATCTTGAGTGACAGGAGACAGGTTGTTTTGCAAGATCAAGTTGTCGATGAAGGTCGCTATTTCGATGCCGCGCGCTTGCAGTTCAGCGACCTTCTGTTCCTCAGTCCCGCCGCTCATCACGATACCGAGCTCTTCAGAGGAATATTCCGTAGAGCCGGGATAATGACGGCGGTTCAAAGCTACAAAGCGTGTACCCCTCTTGAGAGAGACGGGCAACATTTTCTCGAAGATCACTGAGGGGATCAGCACTGATGAGTTGTAATCGTTGAGAAAGCAACTAACAGTTGCTAAAGCACATTCCATGTATAGCGACGATTGTTGTATACGCCTGGTGAGGCACAGGAGCTCCAGAGTCGATGTAGGAAAGCTCAACACCGGGGCCAGCAGAAAGTGTGTTAAAAGCCATTTCTCAGCAAGGTCGCCAAGTCAGGGAGTATTATAATATCAGATCTTCTTTTCTCTTACTTACTTGAAATTGGTATCTTATCGATTTTATCGAGTGCTTGCCGAAGAATGATACCTAAGCAGTGGAACAGAGTTAACCTCGGTGATCAAGACAGAAGGGAACGCTTGAGAAAACTGATCGTTTCTTGACATATTCATCAGAATGGACAGATGATCTTTACCCGAAGCTCCCACATCACAAGCCGTAAGACCAAGGATCATGTAGTCGCATTACCCACATTCTAAATATGATCGTGGATAAAGCAACAAGATTGTGAGAGCGAGAAGGTGGATTTTAAAGGCTCTGAAGCCAAGTCAAAGATAGAAGATATACGAAGGGTTCGCGTTTACTCCATCATAGAAGTACTATCGGGACCCGAAGAACGTCTCAAGAGGAAGAAAGTAGTATCCGATGCGAATTCTAACTCATCAAGTAAACTCTTCAATTTGACGAGCCAATTGTAGCTCCTCGCCGACTCAGATTGAGGCGTGCCTGACGTTTCGCCAGCGTCATATCATATACTTTTGCGGTCTGTATGAGTATTGAAACTTGCGCTTGTATTTGTGCATCTTTGAATTCTTGTCTCCCCGTTCATGCTGTCATATTCACGTCCGCGGTCTCAAACACCATCAGATTAGATGTTTCGCGATAACACGCACGACTCACCAGCGATCCCACGACGTACGGCTAGCAATTCAACATCAAAATTGCTGGTGGGGAGTCAATGACCAAAGGCGAGTTGCGTGTGCCGTGTCGTGTCGCTGGTTCTTTGACGATTGTTGTTGCTGGACGCGGGCCTAGAGGCCGACTTTGCCGACTTTGCTGCCTTTTGGACCTCGACATCGGTCCCCGGCATCTTAGACGTGAATTGGAGAAGAGTTTATGGTTACGGCTCTCGCTCGCTTGTGGATGTGTCGACTGTGGCGCATCAGCAAGGGCAGACGAAAGATGGAAAGGAGGAAACGTACCGGGTTTGCGCTGGATGGAAGCAGCAACAGCGAGGCTGGACAAAGCGAGAAGAGATACTACGAGGGCAAAAGAGAACCTCATGGGCGGGAAAAGAATAGAAGAGACGGGACGCGCCACGGTCTTTACACGACTCTAAAATAAGGTTCATGGTCTCGATCTGCTCAGAGGGTTAAGTAGAAATTATTATGTAAT